CGTTCTCCGATGGAAAAACATTCGTTGTCCAGCAGTTCGTAAACAAACAAAACGATCGTGTTTACCTGAGGTACCAAAGAGGTTAGCTAAAAAATGAGCACCTTCGGGTGGACACCAGAATTCAAGCGCCGGCCATGGTGATGGTGTGGCCCGCCATAACAGCCGATGGTCGCCCTCCGCTCGTATTAATCGACCATGGCATCAGAATAAATGCTGAATATTATCGCGAAAATATTCTGAAGGGTGTATTAAAGCCTTGGGCACGACCTTGGACATTCCAACAGGACTCAGCAACATCGCACTCAGCACGCGCCACCCAAAAATGGTTACAAAATGAAGTTTCTCGCTTCATTTCCAGTGCACAATGGCTACCAAAATCTCCGGATACCAATCCGTTGGACTATTGTGTCTGGAGTATTTTGGAAAGCAAGGTTGGCACTAAAAAATACCAAAGTGTAAATCACCTCAAGCAAGTGATTCGCCGGGAATGGGCCAAAATACCGCAGAGTAACATTCGGCAGCGTGTGACGGTTTCATTGACCGTTATTTGTGCCATAATTCGTGCCGAAGCAGACAAATTCGAACAAATCTAAACTTATTCTAAAATTTGATGCTATTTCCGACATTTTTTGCTTCCATTTAATAAAATTAAAAAAAAAAAAAAAAAAAAATTATGGTGTTTGACTTTGTTGCTGTTTTTTTATCTCACCCTGTATAACAAATTGGATGAATAATTCATATGGGAGCTATAGCTATATATGAACCGATTTTCCCCAAATTTGACGAGGTTCGAGGTTTTAAACACCATTGAAGCCAGGTTATTTCTCAGTACTGTAATATTTTAATCGCGGCTAATTTAAATACATCTCGACCGCTCCAGCCATTCTCCCATTAAATTACAGCTAATTAAGAATCCAGAATCTTGGCCTATTGTTGGTCCTCCCAAGCCAAAGGCCGGCGGCAATTTGCTTTGAAATATTCATATTTACAATACTTAATATAACAAATTGGCTCTCTTCGGCAAAGGGGCATAATGTGTGCAGTGGTGTGTATCCTTGCCAAGGCCAAAGAAAAGAACAGCTCTTCCGCCAGCTCGCCTCTGTGTCTAAACAATGACAATTATAACGTAATTAAGTGAGCGTTCAATGTTTTGTGTCTTTGACGTCATTCAGTTGATGTCAACAACGACGAACATCCAAGTATTATTTTTTCCCTTCACGTTCTGGCAACATGTTGCATGTTCCACTTAAAAAAAACGTACCGGCATGTTGAGTACTTTTTCGAAAATCCTTTTGAAAATTTCATAAATTCATTAAAAGCGGAGCAAAGCCAGCACGCGACATTTAAAACACTTATCTACAACAAGAGAAGCAACAACAACAATTTAAACTGGCAATAAAAAATATCCTCTGTAACCCCTTACTTCCCTTCGAAATATTTCTTAAGCCAATTTTGATGCTCCCCACCTCTAGAAACCTATACATTTTAGACAAATGTAACCATACCTCCCCCTCGCCCCATTCTCCCCCCTTCCCCCTTGCAGCGTTAAAGGGTTGTATTGAAATCATTTTCCCAGCTTTGTATGGCGTCAAAGACTTTTGACTTTTGGCGCTTTGTGTGGATGTTTTGTGCATTCCATGCCATGCCAGGGTATGCCACACCACGTCGAACCAACAACAAGAACAAAAATAGACGCCGTCATCATCATCGCACTTGGTTGAAGTGTCTTTATCCTTCGAGTTCTGTATGCCACTGCAGTGTGAGCAAACCCGACCGACCGAGCGACCAACTAACAACAACCACTCTCTGGTGGTTTTGTTTATTTGTTGTTTTTGTTGGCTGCTGGCTGGCTGGCAGCAGCTTTGGCAACATTTTTTGTTTATTGCTTTTGATGTTCTCTCGGCGTAAAGAGTTCCGATTGTTGTCCCCACCCTCCAGCACAATTCAACCCATTCACAACACCCTCCATATGTTTGCAGCCCTGTTGTTGGGAACTACCTCCACCCCCTCTCCTTCTTTGAGTTCAGCGATTTATTGTTGTTGTGTAAATCTTATGAATTATGTTGTTATTTTAAGAGAATGAATGAATGAACGGTCGGTCGGTCGGACAAATGTTCATTTTCGTAGTTTGAGTTTGTTATTAGTTATAATCGTCAGAGCAGCAACAACAACAACACAAACAACAACCACAATGTTTCAATATTAATTACAACAAATAATTCAAATACAAATGTTGCCATCGTCGTGTTGTTTACTCGCTGACCTCGTCTGGATGGTCGCTTTTAATTTGCTCTAATTGTTCGGCGGATTAATTGGAAAAGGACATTTTTGAATTGATATTATCCGATATTCGGATAATGGGAAATTAATTCGGATTATCCATAACTACTGTACAACATAACAATTTTATCGATTTTATAACATTTGACATTTTAATCAGACGAGGTGAGTTTCGTATCCGCTTTATCTGGATACGATAAAAATCTTATCCACGATACTCTTTATAGGCTGTCAATGATATCCGTTTTATCCTGATATACTATTCTTCGAATATGCTGAACTGTATTCCAATATAACCTGATATCCGTGCTATCCGGATAAGGCAAAGCTGTTATTCACGTTCCTCGTTAGCTTTATAAGGTAAAACTATAATCCAGGTTATCCAGATACTGAACAAGTGTTATCCGCTTTATCCTAATTGAGTAAGCATGCCATCCTTTTTATTTTCTTCTCATACAAATGTTATCCAAATTATCCACTTCGTCCTGACACGCTAAAAAATGTTATCCATGTTATCCTGATACGTCAAACGTATTATCCGCGTTATCTTTATAATGTTAAAACGTTATCCACTTTATTCTGATACTTTAAATATGGTGTCTACGTTATTCCGATGTATTAAAAAATGTTATCCGTGGTATCCTGATTCTGTAAAAATATTATCGGGGTCATCCTGATACTCTACAAATGTTATTCACGTTATCCTAATACAGTGAGAATGCTGTCCACATTATCCTCATGCGATAAAAATGTTATCCTGATGTACTTAAAAGTTTATCCACTTTATCCTGACACGTTTAAAATGTTATCCACGTTGTTCTGATACGTCAAACATATTATCCGCGTTATCTTTATAATGTAAAAACGTTATCCGCTTTATCCTGATACTGTGGATATGGTATCTATGTTATTCCGATATATTAAAAATGTTTCCGTGTTATCTTGATTCTGAAAAAAATATTATCCACGGTACCTTTATAAGCTTAAAATACTATCGAGGTCATCCTGATACTCTACAAATGTTATTCGCGTTATCCTAGTGCAATAAGAACGTTATCTAAATTATTATCATGCGATAAAAAATGTTATCCTGATGTATTTAAAATGCTACCCACTTTATTCTGGCACGGTAAAAATAGTATCCACGTTATCCGGATACGTTAAACATATTATCCGCATTATCTTTATATTGTAAAAATGTTATCCGCTTTATCCTGACGCTGTAAAAATGATTTTTGTGTTATCCGGTTATTTAAAAAGTTATCCGTGTTATCCTCATACTGTAAAAATGTTATCTACGTCATCTTCATACGACAAAATCGTTATCCAGATTATTCTAATACGATTAAATTATTATCCACGTTATCCGGATACATTAAAAATATTATCCGCATTATTTTTTTTATTGTAAAAATGTTATCCGCTTTATCCCGACGCTGTAAAAATGATGTCTATGTTATCCCGATATGTTAAAAATGCTATCCTATTATCCTCATACTGTAAAAATGTTATTCACGTTATCTTCATACGACAAAATCGTTATCCAAATTATTCTAATGCTATTAAATTATTATCCACGTTATCCTGATATTATTAAAATGTTATCTATTTTATCCTGATAGGATTCAAGTCATTCTAATATTATAATAATGTTTTCCATGTTTATCAGCGTTATCCAAATGTAGTAAAGTGGATATTATCCGTATTTATTAAATATGTTATCCACGTTATCCTGATGCAGTAAAATGTTATCCAGACACGGTAAAAATGCTGTCCACTTTGACCTGACACAGTATAATTGTTATTCTGGTAGGGTTAACTTTAACCAACGCCATCAGGATGGGATAAAAATGTTATCCACTATATCCTTATAGAGTTATATTTTACCCATATTATCCTGATAGGCTGTGAACGTTATCCATGTTTTCTAATTGGCTAAATATATTATCCACATTATCCTAATAGCCTGTATATGTTATCCACATTATCTTGATGGTCCTAATAAGCTGCAAATATTGTTCGTGTTATCCTGATGGGCTGTATATTTTATTCGTATTATCCTGATAGGCTGTAAACGTTAGGAACTCAGCCATTTTTATGCCAAAAAAGTTTCAATTTGCCACTAAACGCCTTCCGTTTCTATTCTCAAGTGCCTTCAAGTCAGGCATGAGTACTTCTTGACAATTTCAATCAAGATAAAGCAAGCCAATTTTTTTTATTAAATTTTTTATTTAAAATGCCACCAATAAACGTCAGTCTTATCTGAGATATGCAAAAAAGGAGGGGCAGACAAAAGTCAATGAACGACGGCAGGACGATAGCATTTCATCAAAATTTGCCAAAGCACGAAACAGTTTAAAGGCAAGCGTGGCTCATGGGGTTGACTGGTTGGCTGTTTGTTAACTCGCTAGCAAGTGAAGCGTTTAAATTTTTGCGAAAAAGAAGGAAAGTCGCAAAAAACCCAAAATTACTTATATAAATAGAAACATTTTCATCAAAAGATTTCTATCTATCCCTTAGCACGAGTCGGTTTCAAAGATTTAAATAAAATTTATCAGCAAATATTTGGCAACATGCAAATTTTTTCCTATATCCTGTAAAAAAAGACGAAAGGGTGTGCCCTACTCCCACCCCCTTATCCTTGTAATATTAATTTTTTTTTTCCTAAAGAGATCTCAATGTCAAAACTGTCAAATTGGTTTCATGTACATTTCACTTACGCCTTAAATCCCGGGGATCGGAGGCATTGCTGCGTGGACTTTCACCCTTTTCGGCATCGTAGTCGTTGGAGCCCTCCAATGATTCGTGGGATGTGCATGTGGGACTGGCTGAGTCGGTGCGAAACGAGTCATTGCCATTGAAGAGATTCTGCAGAGAGAGAGAGGAAGAGAACAAGGAAAATCAAAGTTAAAATTAAATTTATTTTTTTTAAATTTACTCAACAAATAATCATTGCTGGTCTGGTCTAGCCAAGACGTAGTCTAGCATCACCACTTACCTGGTCCAGTGAAATTCCAATGTATTTTGGCGGTGAAAATGCCGATGGCAATTGGAAATTACCCAACACTGACGGCTTGCCCAGAGCGGCTCGTTCGCTGGCAAAGTAACTGGCCGCCGCCGCTGAGCCATTTGCCGCCAGCATGTTGTGGTTGAGGGTCTGCAGGAGATGGGGATGGAAGGTGTGCAGCAAGTGGGAGCCATAACTGCCGACTAGTGACATGTTGTGGAGATCTTTGGCGTCAGGTAACTGCAAGAAAGGGTACTGCGAATGAATAGAGTTGGGCTAAAATCGATGTTGAGGCAAAGATAACAAGGATTATAAGGAATTTTCCAACTCACCACCCTCTTGAAATTATTGATTGGTTTATCATTTGATGACAACTTAAGCCAACTTGACCCCTTTGAGAGGGGTGGGAAAAGGGAAAATTATGTAAAATAAAAAAAGTATTGGGAAAATGCATATGGTCAGTTTGTAGATAATCCTTATTTTTGCCCATTGACAAGGGTTAGAGGTTATGGAAAATATTGGCAATCATTTTTAAGAAAAAAAAAAAAAAAACACTGTCGAATTGTGATGACCATGGCTAATGGAACTATTGCTGGAAGTGGGATTTCTTCTTGTGTCCTTTTAGATTTGCATGTAATCTGCATTCCTTATCCTTGAATTCAAGGATTAATGTAAAATATGCCAAAAATATTTATTTTCAGATAAAATTTCCAATTAAGAAAAAAGAAGCCTGTTCCTGTCTTTTATTCGCAAAATTTAGTAAAAAATTGAGAAATCTGGAACGATGAACACGGGAATTTGCTCAGCGAGTATTTCAAAGGATTCATATTCTTTTCAAACAGGGGAATTTTTGTAGACTCTGAAACCTTTTGAAGGTTTCTAAATTCTGCTAGACAAAAATCAGAAGTTAAAACGTTAAAAATTATATCCATGTTATCCACTTTGTCCTTATGCGAAATGTTATCCAAGTTATCCTGATGCGATTTAAACGCTTTTCACGATATCCTGACACAGTAAAAACGTTATCCATGTTGTCCTGTCCCAATGCAATTGTTATTCTACTCTGATAAACTGTAACCAACACCAAATACGACAAAAAAGGCTACCCACGTTGTCCTGATGCTATTGAAATATTATCCACGTTATCCAGATATACTGTAAAATTTATCCACGTTATCTTGAAAGGATGTAAACGTTATCCTGATAAGATGTAAATCTTATCCACATTATCTCTATAATCCAGGTTATCCTGAGTGGCTGTAAATCTTACCCACGTTATCCAGAGAGAATGTAAATTTTATCCACGCTGTTCTTAGAGAATGTAGACATTATCCATGTTATCCAAATAGGCTTTAAATGTTAACCACTTTATGACCATGTTATCCTGATAAGATGTGGACTTTGTACACATAATCCCTATGGTCCGGGTTATCCTGATGGGCTGTAAATCTTATTCACTTTATACAGAGAGAGAGTGTAAATTTTATCCACGTTGTTCTTAGAGGATGTAGACATTATCCACGTTATCCAAATAGGTTTTAAATGTTATCCAATTTATCCAGATAGTATGTAAATGTTATCCGCGTTTGTATATAGACTACAAATGTTATCCACTTTTCTCTGATAGACTTTAAACGTTATCCTGATAGTCTTAATATATTTTCCTTGTTCTCATAATAGGTTTTTTAATATTATCGACGTTATCCTGGTAGGCTTTACAGGATATTCTGATTTACTGTAAGACTTCTAATATTATCTTTAAAAGAAATCTTCAGATTTTCTGCAAAAGATCATCATTTGGTGGCGAAATTTTTATTGGCAGAAGTTTCAAGGACTAAATATTTTAAAGAAACGTTCTGAGATATTGGAGTTTTGAAGCTAATATTGTGAATATTTTAAGAAAATATTTTTGTCAAGGACGGAGTCCAGACCTGGAGTTTCCTTGAAGAAGTTTAAAGTATTTCTATATCGACTAAATAAATAAATAAAAATAAAAAATAAATAAAAATAAAAAATAAAAAAATAAATAAATAAAAATAAAAAAGCTGAAAAGTTCATTAAAAGCTGAAGTTCATTAAAAGCTGATATTTTTAAACATTGAGAGAATCTGAATCTTGAACCAGAGATATTTTTTTGAAGAACTCAGAAGGATTTCATATAAAACTTTTAAAATATGAAAATTTTTTATTACTATTTTTCAAGAAATTGCTTCCAAGTCCTGGCCTAGAGATAGAAGACTCTAATCCTAAAAACGATTAAAAAATTATTTTTTTCTAAGAAATTTTGGCATTTAGGACTGGTATCCCCTTCCAAAAATGCCTTTTCTTATCTTTCCCTCTTCATAATATATGTATAGGAGTATAAAACACTTTTCTCGAAGTGGTTGACCACTTGGTTTGCTAAACTCCCCAGTTGGTGTCCTAACTGTGATAAATACCCCTGTAATTATGGCTCAAACTCCAAAATAAAACCATGGAGGTAATACTCTGTAGAGGAGGACACATATGTATTTTGCTGGCAGACAAAACGCTTTTGATAAACCCCATTTATTTTTGTGGTTTTAAGTCCACGGCATGGCAATGCGGGACCAAGCCATGTGTAAATGGTTATCATTCAAATACTTTTCTGTATTGGAAAGAAGGGGGAGTTGGCGATAAGAGGTGTTTGAGTGGGGAATGCTGTTGATACTGACAAGTCATGCTAAGCCTAACAGGCAGACAGTTGAACTCCAACATTTTTCTAAATCACAACACCAGTATGGTGTGTCAACACAAACTCCAATTCTCTTTCTCCCAACCTCAAACCCCTAGAAGCTGTGAGTAATTGATGTCTATGTTGCTGATGTGTGGTGTTTCACACATCTTTGGAAAGAGAAGGAGTTGGGGGGAAGGTGGTAGCATGATGTTACCGATTTGATAAGTGTTAATTTGTTGCCATCAACACGAACACATTGTGTGCCTGATTACTCGCCCAAGAAGACTTTAATAAAATTATAAAATTTACAACAAAATTTGACGGGGTGGTATACATGTAACGTTTAAAATAAATTATGTCACGATTTTTATGAGTTTCTTAAATAAATCTCCCACAAATTGTAATCGAACTTGAAGCGAGCAGAAAAAGAAAACACCAGAAGCTATGACACAAGTAGTTTTTTATGCAAATTTTCCACATAAGAGACTTTTCCCATCAACATCTTCCAGGCACACATCATCAGGCGGCATTCATGCATGGAGGAAAAGCAATTTTCACCACAAAAGGAAATTTGCAAAAAAAAAATCGTTTTTCTTTGCCACCCTAGCAAGGCACACTCCCCATAACCCAATCAACTCATATGTGTATGTGTATATGTATGCATGTATGTTTGGCTTGTAAATGATATGTTTAGTGGGTTATTGTCATACCCAAACATATCCATCCGAAAGAAATTACTTTTCAAACATCATCGTTTACATCCTTTAGACAACAACAACACCCATTACATGGTGTAACAACAACCCCCCTTGCCTTGGTATCGAAAATATACAACAACACTTTCACCCAGCATGAAGCCAGCAAAATCTCTCTCCCCCTCGGAAGTTTGTGATTTTTTTTTCGTTTTAAACGTTGTTTGTGTCGTCGGAGATGATGACTGTGATGACGATAATCGTTGGCTGATGGGTCGTTCCAATAATGACAATATTTAAATCCTTTGCAATAAATAACATAACGCTTAAAACATGTGCAGATTTTTTAAGGATTTTTGTTTTGTATCTAAAAAATCACATTTCAAAAAAGGGGTTGGGTTTGAAAATTGCACAAACTTTACATGGACAAATAATTTTCAAAAAAAAATCTACGTTTACAGGATTTAAACCAAATCGGCCACAATTTGATTTAAGTCCTCAAGTTTTAGCATGGTATAATGAAATAACGGTATCCTCATTTCAAAGAAGCATTCCTGCAATTTCTGTAATTTTCCTTGTCAAATTTAAGGGCATAAAAAACAGGTACCCATCTGTGATTTGTGTAAATGCAGTATAATTCTAAAAGAAAATATAGAAACCTAAGATTGCATGGGCTTACCTTCCTTGTTCTACCATGAGTTTCAGTAAGGAAATCTGATAATTTTATATATTTTATCCAAATATTTCACAAAATTTTCTCCAGAATTTAATTGTTTTATTTCAATATTTATTTTCCAACTAAGATAAATAATTACCACCCTCTTATTCATTCGTTAGGGATACTTTGTCTTACTTTATTTTGTTTTCCCTTTTTAATAAAGGCCACACATTATTTATTTCAGTCATAACAATAAAGTTATGGCCTTTTATTTCCTCTCAACCTGGTTCGGTTTGGTCACACAATAAATGTCCACATAATTTGGCATGAAAGCATAGATTATGAGACAGCAGCAGATCCCCGTCCCCTGTCCTAATGAAAATTGGGAAACTCCATAGGAAAATATTGTGTTGGAAATATGATAAATGTTTTTAATATGTGGAGACCACAAAGGTGGACACTTTCTATTGGAACTCTAGAAGAGAAAGCTCTTGGAATGGAACAGCTCACTAGAAGCTGGAATAAATCACTTCTACGGAAAAATATAACCCGATATAAATTACGTAAATATAAAATTACTCGTGATACTCTTCTCTCTTCCGTTAGGGAAAAGAAATATGACCACATGAATGACAGCCTCACTGAAAATCAGCATTCAGAGTTGCTCGTGTTTACTATTTAGTAAAACTTTCTTACGAGTGCTCGAAGAGTGCATGTTTTAATGGGGGAGTATTCCCGAGTTACTACTGTTTCCAATTCTCAGAGTAGAGAAACAATTTATTCAAAGAATGCAATTGAGTGGACAACCGCTATGGATTTGTTTCGTTTACAGCTGAGGATTAAGAGAACAGACATAATTCTCACAAAAAGAGTTAGTATAACTACAATGTATGCTTGAGAGTTTAGGGTAGCTCGTTTTAATCAACGAGATATCTCGAAGAGTATACGCTATATAAGGAGCTTACTCTCCACTTTTTTGTTTTATGTGGAAGCACTGCGGAGTTACTCCTGTTTGAATAGTCTGAATGGGTGTCGAAATGCTCGAAATAGAGTAAGAGTTTACTCTAAGAGGGCGAAGGAGTAAAAGTAAGTGTTTACTCCATGAATGCAATCGAATAAACAGAGAAAATATAAATATTTACAAATAAAGGGTGATGTTTTAGCTACCATGTTTTTGGCAACGCTGGTATAAACAG